CTGCTGTCCTGCGCCCGTGCGCGCTGATCTGCTGTGCCGCGCCTGCCTGCGCCCGTGATACAGAAGTGGTCATCAACCCAGGTGAGTCCGACGATGATGATGGAGCCGACAAGTCCAATATACCGACCATCATGTGTACGAGATTGGCCAAAAGGATGTGGTCCGAAGCTAGGGGTGAAGTCTAGGAAACGCAAGGCCAAGCAGGCGCGAAGGAAACGTAAGACGAAGCCCAAGGAATCGCGTTGTGGGTGCAAGCCTTGTGCGAGGAAAAGGCGAGCAAGGAAGAAGGAGGCTCGAAGGCGAGGTTTGCGATGGGTTGAAGATGGGTGGTGGATACCGGCGGATGATTGCGTTAGGTTGAAAGGTTGGGACCCATGGCCCAAGCCGACGGAGATGAGCGGTAACAAGGAGGACGGCGGCGATCGGCTAACAGGCGAATGGCGCGCATCGGCCCATGATGCGCGCGGATGGACGGAGCAGGATACATATAAATGCATGGCAGTCGAGAAAGCCGCGGAGGTCGACTAGGACGCGTTGGCGTTTGGCAGTCGAATGGAACGAGGTGCACGCGAGTGGTCGGGTGATCACACAAGAGATGGATCAGTACGCGGATGCACGGACGACAGCGTAGGCGACACTCGCGGTAGTGGCAGGGACGCGCGGCAAACGGGCAGCGGTGACGATAGGCGCGCAACAGCGCGCGAGTACGAGGCAAGCGCGAACGACCGAAACCCCACGGGCATAGGAATACCGGGCGCGGACGCACACGCAGGAAACGAATGACGAGGACGCGGAGCGCGCATGGGCGCGCGAGTGGGACAGCAGCGCGGGCGCATGCCTATGCGCAATAGGCATAGGCGAGAACGGTAGCGCGTACGCACGCGATGGAGTCGGCGCCCAGCAGGAATGCGCGAGAGACGGTGCGTGCGCGGAGGACGCGAGCGAAGCCGCGGCCGACAAGGAGGTCTTGTAATATCCCGACTTTTATCAGTATTAATAATATTTTAGTTCCGATATTATTTTTTCGGAATTAATTATTTTCAAACAGTTCAGTCGAAATTACCGAAAAATATTTTCGACGTACCGTCTACGTTCGAAATAATTTTGGTAATTTAGCATTATGTTTAATTGGATAATTAAACATAATTAAGTGATTAATTTATCTTAATCACGAGATTAGCTAAATTGTTCGGATTTTATTCCGAGTTCATGCTCATGGTCGTGTGCATTTAAGTCCAAGTGTTAGTACATTTTGTTCATTAGCCATGC